ATTTTCTGTATGTAAAAAGAGTACTCTTTTAATATGTCATTTTTTTAAAACGAGGTAATTTCATCGAATTTTTATTTTTATTTGAATGAGGGTATTCAGACACACCTAGAAAAACACACAATACACAAAATACACCATCCTGAAACCAAGCGCCTATGGGGGAAGGGGGGCTTTTTAAGTATGACCTGGCTGGGATTTATTTTTATGTATGTGACAGACGGACCGACTGATAGACAGACAGATTGACCGACGAAAGAGATTTAAAATGTCCCCTCGCTCTGAGCCCTTTGCGAAAGCGGGGGACAACAAAATATGAACCATCGAACATGTGGGTATTAAATTATGCCCCTTCGATTGACTCTCCAACGAAGAAGACAAAAAGAGACGAGCGGGAAAGATCGTGGTTCACTGTGACACTGTTAAAGAATAAACCATGAAAAATCTTATACAGAGAGGGTAACGCGTCAATATAAGATGGCATTTAGCCTAGGAGGTGGGACAACGCCGTTTGGTGCAACAAGTACTACGTCATCAGCACCATCTTTTGGGTTCGGGGGGTCAACTCAGCCATCAGGTATGGACTCTTAGTAATTTTTGTGTATTGTGCGTACATAAATTTTATGCGCAATACTCATACAACTTGTCAGTTTTTTTTCTAAATACGCAAATTCTAATTGTTTAACCAATTGAATTTTATTAGATATTGTCGTATGCGAGACAGATATGTATTTGTTTACACGCTTATGGAATTTCCCCTTGCTATAAATAGTTGCATGCATTTTATGAAAAGTACATTTGCCTTGTTGCAGTAATAACATATGCAGTTTTAAACATGCATGCATGTTCATATAATTTTAAAAGAATAGGTAAATGGACTAATATATTAGGGAAAGCCTGCAATAAGTTAGTTAATTTGACAGTGAGAATACATTGCATATAACATGTACATGTAATTCTTGATGGCTTGAACTTCGATCTCTCAAAGTTCTTGATCTCTCGAAGTGAGTCTCCGGTCCCAAATTTTTCCCTTATATAACTCACAGGTGCTTGAGGACAGGACCCCCCCCCCCAGTATAGACCCCCGGGCCTGTTCGACTTTTTTCACATAAATTATATATGGATGACACATTTGTGATAGAATCTATCCTATCAATTCAGAAAATTTGCTTAAACTTACATTTTATAAAAATATCTACCCTCTCTATATATAAATTAACAAGGTTGCTAACTTCGTCTGCAAACCGAGAGGCACTGCCGAGAATTTTGGTTGAATCGTCTCATAAATCTAAACAAAGCCCTAAAATCAACAACTCATATTGTAGATTGAATATTCTTTTCATTAAACACCAACTCTCATGAAGGTTAAGGCACTTTAACAGTCGTTATCACCAAGTTTTCGAAAGGATGTCAGGCTACAATCAGCGTTTTTGCTTAGTGAACGGAAGTGACGAGGAGACGACTTTTTACCAAAATACACAGTTCTGCAGAAAGTCTGAGACACTGTTTTGAAGTAAACTTTTGAAGAAATTTGGTTGATATACACTTTAAAAAATGTCTTACAAATGTATTGGGAGAATAGAGTTCTAAACCGCTGATGCAAATGAAATGTCTCTAATTATTTTTCAAATACCTGATTTGCATGTGAGAGTTATGTCCTTTTAAAAATGCAATTTATAAAAATATCTTCTTTTCATTAAATATTTGTGTAAATCTATTAAACGTTTGAAAATAAAATTTTGATGAAGGATTCGTATAAAAAACAAGAATATATCTATTGTTGATATTTTACACGTATATTTGGGTACATGGGGAACATCGGGAATTAGTCCTCTCCTTATTACTTCCGTTCAATAAGCTTTTTACGGAGTTGGCAACCTTGTCGATTTTTATATAGAGAATGTAGGGTAGATTTAAGAGAACGTTTGTTTTAGATAATTTTTCGATTTGCTGGTATAGATCTTATCACAAATATGGCAATGACAGATTTTTTATGAGAAAAAAATCGAAAAAGCCCAGGGGTCTATATCAAAAAAGGGGGGGGGGGTTCCTGTCCTCAAGCACCTGTGCTCGATACCTCGAAATGGCTATGTGTATTCAAAGTTACATAATTAGCAACTTTACGTGGACATTTAATGGCCCTCGACAGAAGATGCGGGTCTCGTGAAATGGGGTGTTTATTCAGATGACACTTATACTGCAAGGACATTGAAAGTGATAATTGATTTATAATTAATCTTATGTTGTCTATATGCTATTAAAATAATTATCATCAACTTTATCATGAGAATTTAGAAACGTAGTGTCACTGAGAATTGTAAGTTCAGATTACAAGACGAAACACTTAATAAATTTAATTTTTATTTCGAATCGGTGTCAAAGTTTAATGAAATATGAAAATTCAGAAACAGCCTAACTGTCAATATGACAACTTTTCTTGGACAGATACGTACAAAATTTCGTTCAGTGCTCATGTTTGGAAAAGTCACAATGCTATGTTCCACGCGACACTGGTAAAATGTCGTTTTCATATAACGAATGCGTGGTATAATGTCCGCATGATAAAGAATAAATAAATATACATGAACTGACGATGTACATTCTTTGCTTTACTCGGTTTAATAAATATTCATCTAAAATATGAAAACATATCGTTAGTTTACAAAAACCATGTGTAAAATGTTAGGACTGCATGAAAATCATTACATCCAATAAGACTAATTTTAAAACCTGTCAAACAAACCCCGAAAATCCGGACTCTTGAAAACTCGAACTCTTGATCTCTTGAAGTTTTTCCTCGGTCCCGCGCACTTCGAGTTATCGAGAGTTCAGTCTTCACCAAATCCTGGGAAGCCCGGGACCTGGTAAAATTGGAAGCGCGCGGGCATGTGGAAATTGCACACTTACAAGCCCAAACAGCATGTAAATTCTGTGGCCTAAGCATCGTATTATCAAATTAAAGAATACCAATAACATTAAATATACTTAAAAGTCTTTGATTTTTCATCTAGAGAAAATGTTAGCGACAGTTCATTCTACCATGTTTTCCAAGGAACTTTTGCAAAGGAGCCATAAAAAATGTACAGATTGAAAACAATATTAAGGGCGAGACAATGGATTGATAGAAATATAGATTTCGAATCATTTCCTTGGCGTGAAAAGGCAAATAAGAATAAAATTACTTGATAAAATTCTGGGCATGTAAATATTTGTTCAGGCTAGTGAAATTAGTGGTTACAGGTGACCGAAGGGCATGTACTTAAAAAAAAATTTGGGGAAGACTGAGAGTTACCTGTATAATAAATAAATTCCAGCTTATTAAAACAATATGACAACTATAACAATAATACACAAAAGATAATATTAATTTTTTCCATTTTTGAAAAAAAAATTTTGTTATAAACTAAAATGCAACTTGTTTGTTGTTACCCTACAGGAGGGTTTGGTACACAAGCGAAGACAACAGCAGCCACTGGTTTTTCTTTCGGTACTCCTGCTGCTACATCAACGACCGGATTCTCCTTTGGTGGTACCCCTGCTACCAGTGCATCTACAGGATTCTCTTTTGGTGGAGCACCGGCATCAACTGCATCTACAGGTTTCTCATTTGGAGGCGCGGGCACAAGCACAGGCACATCTGCTTTTGGAGGAGCCACAGCATTTCCTGTATGTGATTGTCTATTTTAAAAAAAATATCGCTTGATTTGCTCATGTCTTTGCTGATTTTTTTTTAACTTTTGTGAAATTTTTTTTTAAAAGGCCTGTTTCCATTACAAATGATTTCTTGTAAACCTAAATGTTATGATAATTATATTTTTTTTTATATTCAGAGTTTTGGAGGAGGACTTGGGGGAACAGGCACCACTACTACAGGTCAAAGTTCATTTGGATTTGGACTTGGAAGTAGGTCATGTAACTTTTTAAAACAGAAAATTATCATGTTTTAAATTCTTAAACTCTAATCATAAAATATTTGAATTGATTTGTGATTAAGTAAATATAGTGTGGATTTTTCTTTGATCAGTATCAGAGGTTGCATTTGTTTGATTTATCATACTTCCTATATTTGGATACAGTCCACTAATTGTTTTCCCATAGGCGACAATGTTAACGTTTCTTCTCATAGCAATGTCCCGAATTTTCGTTCAGAAGTGAGTGACCCCTCAAATCAAAGCACATCAACTTGTCTTTCCTTGGTTAAAATCTCGAGGTGGCATGTCAGATTCGTTTTCTGGCAAAATGCATCTGTCTGCGGGAACCTCTAAAAATGAAAGTGAAAGTAGGGGAATTTCAGAGTTCTCCCTGGCGTTATAATACACAAAATAATTCGGCTGATCTTCTTGATTAATTACATTTGCCAAGCTTTTTATACGCCCGTCTTAAGACGGGACGTATTATGTTATAGGCTTCATGTCCGTCCGTCTGTCCGTCCGTCTGTCCGTCTGTTAGCTTTTCTCGTGTCCGGCTCATAACTTTAATACTATAAGGCCTAGAGTTACCAAACTTTGTCAGCTGATACATCTTGGGTAGAAGGTGTGTCTCGCACAAAAAGTAGGTCACTCTGACCTTTAATAAAGATGCTATAGCCAAATATGGAAAAATCCTGTCCGGCTCATAACTAGAAAACTATGAGACCTACAGTTTTCAAACTTGGCAAAAATATACAGCTAAAGTAGAAGGTGTGTCGCGGCCTATTTCAAGGTCACTGTGACCTTTAATTTAAGTGAATTTTTTTAAAAAAACTAAGTCTTTTAAATTTTAAATTTCATAATCCTAAAAAATGTAAAAATATAGTTGTATCCTTATTAAAAAATGTTAAATTAAGTAAAAACTTATTTTTTCATTATATACTTTACAGCAATCTGTAACAAATGTTTATGCTTTGAGAGGAATTCAGTTTGTCCCATGGGCATAATTATCAAGCACTGGTCAAGAAGAATTTTGATAGCAGAAACTTGCATGTCAAATTAGAGAGAAATTAATGAGTTTATTGTCAGTTCTAGATCTGATGCAGCTGTTATCTTAATTTATCTCTTGGGAGTTGGGCAAAAAGAAATGGCCTCATAGTTGCTTGTGTTAATTAAGAGTTCTTGATGGCTAGTCCAGATAAAGATCTTCCAATTGGTGTAATGTAATTAAAACAAATTTATGTTTTAGTGTATGATTAAAACTAAATTAGTATTGTATAATATAATTAAAACTAATTATACATGTGTTCATTGAAAAAAAAAAATGTATTTCAATTTTTATATATTTGCAACAAATTGCAGTCATGTCTCACTTAGAATTTTATAGTCTGAAGAAATTATAATTTATGTTTGATTTTTTTTTTTTATTAAACTGTAGCATTTCTATTATTTCATAAAATATGCAATAAACAATTTAAGTTTAAGTAAGCTGCAATGGATATTTGTTATGCTCTAACACAACCAGTTTAGAGTTATATGATTTATTTGTTATAATCAATCCCTACACTGCAAGTCTCTTAGAGTTGTATGATAAGAAATGGAAATTAAATCACTGAAATCTGTGTCAATCTGTTAATCAAGGCTACCTGATTTTCTTGCATCCTAACCAATTTATGATTATTGAACAATATTTGACGGGCGTATCATGCTGTGGCGGGGCACTTTATTTTGGTAGGAAAGATACTCTTTATCAACAAGTGTGAGGCTCAGTTCAGTACATCTGCACAATTTTTTTTATGCAAGTCTGCAAATTAAGGAACTTGTAATTTTTTCTGCACTATATCTACTTTCTTCACTTACCGATTCTAAAAATAATTAGTGGGATGTACCCATTTATTGTCTGTCATTATGAATAATTCTCTTGTTTGATGTATCAGTGATCAACCTTGAAGATATTTTTGTCTGCTCCTATAAAAGGATCAAAGATTGCCAAAATTATGTACATATTATACAGTTTAAAAACATGAAATGCTCATGAAAATTATTGCCTTAGAATGAAACAAATATGAAATGTCCACACAGCAGTTGCAAAACAATTGTTCATATGCACACAATCATGTAGGCTG